AATTGGTACTTGGGAAGGATTCATGATTCACCTCTCCACTCCGATCTTTCGAACCAACTTCAAGAGAGCTGATTTGACGAAGAGCTTACGGGGTAGAAGTAGCAACCTCAATCAAATTTCCTTTGTCAAGGTTACTTCCACTTGTCCTTGGAGTCCAAGTCGACTTGGGGCCAATCTTTTTAGAATACGGCTTAATGATAGAATGTACTTTACTTCGGATACCCAAAGGATTCTCAGAAGATTTCCTTTGATTTTTATCCAAATTTCTAGGCCCCAAAATATTCTACGATACATTATTATCCTTTTCCACTGCCAGAATATTTTCAGTAAATCCCTTATTGCCTTCTATTCCAGCTGGAATATTAATTTCCATATTTTTAATATTCTCTCCCCTGTTATTATTATCCTTAATTGAAGCATCCAAATCCACAGTAAGGATAATTTCCATCAACGAATCTTCCTCAAGCCGTTTTCCATCTTTATCAAGATTCATCCCATAGATATCTCCTAGGCCCATTGACAGGCGCCACCGTTGCATTGTGTTCTAGAATTTCTTCTTCTACATCAGCATCATCACTGACCCCTAATATTTTGAATCTTGACCCACTTGGTTCCTTGGTGCTGGACTTAACTTGCTCACCCTTAGCCAAATCCTTCTCATTGTTCTGTTTCCGATTGCCCTATCTTGGCTTATCTATAGCCTGTTGCTTCCTAGCTTAGCCTTGGAGTTTGACTTTCTAGTCTGTTTTTGCACCAGCATCCACGACCCATACTTATCCCTTTCCTCGGGCCGTTCTCCATGAACTTGACTTTTGTCAAATATTCCCTGATTGACCATATTGTCCTTTTCTGGCATCTCCTACACCTGATTTTTCTGCACGAAGACCTTGCAATCATCTTCCTTATGTCCCAGGTGCCCGCACTTCTTCAAGCCTTCATACTGGATTCTCCAGATCCGACCATTTAATCGGAACTTTGACAACAGTGGTTTAGTGAGGTCCACCTCGATACAAAAACGAACATACTGGCCTCTATCTTTTGACTCAGTGTTTCTGTCAATTTTGATGACCTTACCAATCTTCGACCCAGTTTAATGCAAAAATTGCTTATCAAAATATTCCACTGAGAGTTGCGGAATACATACCCAAGCATTCAGCTTCTTGATAGGTTCCTCATCTGAAACAAAATTTGGTATCCATTTGCGAATCGTCAAATAACTATCGCCAATCATCCACGGTCCCCCAGTTAATACGAACTCATAATCTTCTAAACTGCTGAATCTCACCACGTAGTACGCATGTCCAACATCAGTGAGCACAATTTCACCCTGAAGACTCCATTTCGCCTTCACTCGCTTCACCAATATTTCATAACTTACCTCCTATCGAATAGCTTAATCTTTTCTTCACTTCTTTGGTCAGATAGATGGTAGGGCATCCCTTATCATCAGAATCACAATTCCAATGGTAAATCATCATCCGAGATATTATCATCATCCAATTCATCTCCCTCACACAAAGGGTTCACATTTCTACCAAATCCACTCATAGCCTGCATATGCGAGCGCACGGTTGCGCTCTCACTTCTTCAGCCATTGAATCGGCCACAAACGAATCCGTTTCCATTTCCTCACCATTACTACTCCTTGAATTTTCCTGATAATCATTGAGATTTCTTTTGAATTTCTTATTGTTGCGCTGGAGAAGGTCATTCTCCTCGCTTGAAAGGGTTTTTTCTCTCTCGCCTTCACTCGACATATTCAATTATTTGTTATAACTTTTTTAGATGTTACAAAGTGTTAAGGGAACAAAAGTTACAAATCTTTTTAGGTGTAAATACTCACAAGGTCAATTCGACTTTTAATAATATTTCCTCCGTTTTTTTAATATTGCGCCGCTTTATTTTTAAAAAGGTTTCACAAATATTGCACCATATTCATTTTGAAAAAAAGAAATATTTATGTTCACATTGCAAATACTATATACATCTTTACTTTTCAACACTTGATTTTTTAAGGAAAATTTGTCAATTGCAGCCATTTAAAGTTTGTATTTTATATATTACAGCCATTTTAAAAAAAAATTGCGAATTGCAACCCAAAAGTACTAATAAATTGTAAATTGCAACCCAATTTAATTTTTTTCATCGATTTGCGAGCCAAAAATGTTTCGTTAAGGTTTTAGGGGTCATTTTAGTTCTTAAGGACCCTAATTGAGCTCGGAATTTGCAAAAAAATAACATAAGTGCCTCGTTTTGCGTATAAAAAATGTATAGATTTGTGTACAACTATATTTTGCCGTGAAAATGAGGCTCTTACATTAATTTTTTGCCAATTCCGAGCTCATTTTTGACCTTAAGAACTAAAATGGCCCCTAAACCCTTAACAAAATATTTTTCGACACGCAAATCGATGAAATAATTGAATTGGTTGCAATTTTCGATTTATTAGTACTTTTTAGCTGCAATTTGCAAAATACGGACTTTAAATGACTGAAATTGGCAAATTTTCCATTTTTTAATTATGTATAGAATCACATGGGCAATATTGATTTTTATCTCTCTCTCATCTTTTTTCCACTATTAAAAATTTTTTATAAAACCCCTGTAATGAAATACTCCCTCCGTGTTTGAATAAATGAAATTTTTTTCCTTTTACAGCCGTGTTTGAATAAATGAAATGTTTTCTTTTTAAGAAATTTCTCTATTTTTTTTTTGTAATAATCCCTCTACTTTTTAATAATATTCTACTAACTAATGATCCTCAAAAAAAACCCCTTACTTTCTTTTCTCTCCTCAAACTAATACACTATCTATTATTTTAATAAATTCAACTAATCTTCCGAAAACTCCGTAAATGTCAAAATATTTTATTTATTTAAACACGAAGGGAGTAATAAATGAATGGAGGAAGTATATTTTATTTATCTCGTTAGTAAACTTGTAGCATAGACATTGGGACTTTTTCCAAAGTAAGCTTTATTACAAAACTATCTTGTAAAGTAGACTTGTGGCCAAACTATTTATCAAACTAAGCTTCTAGGGTAAAACGCTGTCTCGGACAACGTTTTATACCCTAGTTTTTTTAAAAAAAAAACAATTCAATGCGTAAAACGCGGTCTCATACAGCGTTTTTACATGTCGACTTTTTTTTTTTTTAAATTTCGTAATTTTTGATTTTAAAATAAAAAAAAAATAAAAATTTACAAATACACTTGCACTTATCTCTGAGCTTTTTCTGGGGGGCTCGTTGACGATAACCAAACCCCTGTCTTTCCCTCACTAAATTGCATTTAGATATGGAGTATAAGGACAGGTATAATTTAACAAATTGGTCGGCCTTATTGTCACGACGCCTGATCGAGAAAGGAAAGGGGCGAAGGAGATGCATTTCTGGTAGTATTGGACAAGCTCTCACGGCGTTTTTAGTGTAAATATTTTTTTTTTTTAAATTCTTATTTTCTGATCTTGAGACCACTGCTTCCCTCAACTCTTGATTGTGGGGGGTCTCTATCAAGATATCAGAGTTTTTGATGAAGGTACGAACCTTCGAAGAAGAGTGTGGGGGAGTAATACAGATACAGCTCCTTTCGTTTTGATAACTTGGCCATATCTTCTCGAGAAATTTTCATGCGCATGTTTGGTTTTCTTTTATTGACAAAGGTAGTTTTCCCTATCTGTTGTATTCTGTGATGTGGGTTGTTTGAACTCGGCTCCTGCACATTATCGAGCTCCATACTCTCTTTGGTTCCTTCTCCCAACAACTCTTCTTCATTACCACAACTTCTAGATGAGCTTCCAAACCTTTTATTACTTTTGTTAGTAAGTTCCTAGGCTTGAGGCTTGGTGTTCAATTGCTTCCCTTCTACTTGATTACCATGATCTTTAGCATCGAATTTTTTCTGAGTTGAAGTGATACTCATCAAAGTTGATAACTCCTTTTCTATTTCTTTATTTTTTTGGTTCTAATGACCTTGCCTTCTCTAAACCTTCATAAGCCTTATCAAACTTCCTTGATTTCACTAAAGCCTTGACATTTCTCTTACCAATTCCCTACACCATAGAGCAGTAAACAATGGCTATATTAAAGTCATGAAGTTTTATCGCGCAAGCAGCAACATTCAAATATAGAGCTATCACTAAATCCTTGAATAATGGGTTGAAATCAGAAATTAAGAATTTTAAAATATATATATATACACTAAAAACGTTGATTCGGTCAACATTTTTAGTGTAATTTTTGTTTTTTTTTCAAAACAAAAATTACAAAATTTAAAAAAAAAAAAAAAAAAGTCAACATGTAAAACGTTGTTGAGATAGCGTTTTACAATTGAATTTTTTTTTTTTATAAAAACCAGGGTATAAAAACGCTGTTTGAGACAGCATTTTACCCTAGAAGCTTGTTTGGTAAATAGTTTGACCACGAGTCTACTTTACAAAATAATTTTGTAATAGAGCTTACTTTGGAAAAAATATACTTAGGAGTTAGGACACAGGAAACTCTTGTGAAGTTGATTTCTGTTCAATGTGATGTAGACCTTTTCATTATTTTATTTTATTTTTATTTCTCACCTCACGCTTAAAATCTCTTAGTATGCATGTCCAAATTTAATGCGGAGTAAAAATACTTTGACATTTGAGGATAGGTGAATTCTAATCTAAACGAAAGGGTCTCTCCTTCCTAGGCAGGTTCCTGAGCATAGGTGAATGCATTCCCCATGCAACTATCAAATATGACAATAAAAGACACCATACCACATTCCTGATCATATTAATCAATTTTGGGTGAAAGCTAAAATTTACATTTTCTAATTGGGGTGGCATTACACTCTATTGTAAGCTCTATCCATGTCTAGTACAATAGCTATTCATCCCTCCTGCCTGTACTTAAAACATAAATGATGGAAGATCTTGCAGGCAGCAGTCCGAATACAATATTATCTTCAATGCCAAAGGTAGACGCCTATGCCTATCAAGTATTAACATTAAGCAAAATCAAACCATGCAGTCAAGTGCAATGCACAAACTTCTCTTGATAAAAGTCAATAGACGTTGCAGGACAAGATTCTAGATTGTGCATTCATTTCTAATGAATATACGAAGTATAACTCATGTTACAGCAACGGTCCAACTACAGTTGTGTATAAATTCCTGCAATGTTACACGTGACCTAAATGTTATCAAGAATAAGTGAACTAGCACATCCAATTCATGAACTATAATGACAGTAAATTTATCTTGCCATTTCAGATGCAATACAGCTAAGCGGCTGCCTTCTCAAGGACATTTTCTCTGAATATAAGAAGCTCCGTGCTCTTCATATCTGCACACCCAAGCACAGGCGTAAGATAGAAAGATGACGTGTGATATGACAAATAGTAATTAGCCAAGGATTCAAAGATCTGCAGCTGGAAAAGGAGGATAAAGAACAGTCTTACTCAGCCTTGGAGAACCACATTTGCTGGAAAGAACCAAGAGATGCCAGTATACTTCCTCCTATCCAAACACTGGAAAATATTCCCGTGAGTTGATGTAACAACATATTCACATAAAAGTCACTTAAGACACTTTAGCAACTTAGGAAAAGGAAAGAAATCTGAAATAATAAGTGCAGGGACAAACATGCTATGCCTGCATGCTAATTCACACAACTAAAATTTAACAGCAAGCATAAAACACAAGGTGCTTGACAAGGGGATCCCGAGACATTAGAAGAGCAACAAGGTGCTGGACAACAGTACAATCAAGTAATAAAACATGTCGAAGTTATTCCAACAATTTTATTCCACAACAAAACCTCATTCTATTAATAATCTTTGTCCATTGTCAGCGATCAACCCTAGCTTATAGCAGGAAAACAAACATTTGCTAGCATGGAAAGGAACTTTTCTACAGCTATGTGCCTATGTTTCAATGACACCAAGAAATTTATAAACTTACACGTACAAGGACAAATACAGTTATAACCCTATAAGCCTTGGAGGGATTGAGTAACCCAACAAAAGAACCAAATTCTATAAATAATCCACCGGTATGATAATGTTAACAGGCTAGTAAAAGTCATAATTGCTTTAATATCGTTTTACAATGACAGAACAATGATCCCCCATCTTTACTCCATGGGAGCTGTACAATTGCACGGAACAGTAGGCATCGGAGAACAAGAGCAGATTGAAATAAGAATCAACTCACCTAAACCTTCTTTCAGTAGCATTTCCACTAGCCAAAACCTTTACTCTGGCAGCTTGAGGCGACTCCTGCACAATAAGCACTAATTACTACACACAAGCTTACAACTGGAAGTCATGTTCACCTTGATGATTTAGTGACAATGAAAAAAATAGTCTTGACATATTCAAGGCTGTGATATGATTGATTTAATAACACAAATGAACTCCCAACACGTGTTTCCAACTGTTTTTGACAAGACCTGTCAAATAAGTTAAAACAAAATCCCTAACAAAGGTGGTAGAATTCAAACCAAATTAGTACCTACTTTCACCTTCAGACTCCCAAGACTATTCATCGACCAGGTCTATCTCCCGGAGGCGGAGAGAAAGGAAAACCCTAATTACCACTCTACTGATTTTCCCTGTTATTTCGTCCAATTCCGACAATTATTGACTCACCCTAATTTTTTACTTTTCTATCATTAAAAAAGGATTTTTTGACTTTTATCACCCAAAAAAAACACGAAATTGTTTTTTAAAACCAAAACTTCTAAAACTTTTATTTTACTACCAAAAAAATTCTAAAAATTGTTTTTACCACCTACCGTCAAGAAAACCGTTAAATCTAACGGTTTTAAAAAATATTCTTCGATTTTCGTGTGCAAAACATGTTCTTTATAGGTTTAAGGGGGCATTTTGGCCCTATGAGCCCAATTTGAGGTTAGAATCGACAAAAAATGATCGGAAATGCCTCGTTTTGCGTGTTTCACGCAAATTGAGGTATTTTTAAGTAGGAAAAACGAGCCATTTACAATCATTTTTTGTAAATTCTGACCTCAAATTGGACTCGTAGGGCCAAAATGCCCACCAAAACCCCTAAATACCATGTTTTTGGCATGAAAATCGAAGAATTAAAAAAATTCAGTTAGGTTTATCGATTTTTTTGACGGCAGGTGGTTAAAAAAAAAAAAATTTATTTATTTTTTGGTGGTAAAATAAAAGTTTTAGAACTTTTGGTGGTAAAAAACAATTTCGTGATTTTTTTTTTATGGTAAAAGTCAAGAAAACCTTAAAAAATCTGATTTGCAGGTCCTTCACGTTCAAGGCCTCAACGGAGAGGGGTTCTTCAGAAATCTGTCCCCAACTTTCTCCATACTCCTAAATATCAGGTTTGTAAATTCTTTTGAGGACTCAATTGCATCACTGTCCTTTTAGATTGGAGCCCTTCTCCAGCTTATTTTAAGGTGCCTTGTGCAATTATGAATGCTGGTAGGTCAAGGGGGGACTTTGCTTGCATGTGGTTTGGTACCTTATTATTGAACACATATACTTCCTCTCCATAACTCTAGTTTGCAGGGTCTGTTCAAGATGCTGGTAGCTACCATTGCCACCCTGAGTTTCCTAGCCATACTTTTTCTATTTTTAAATTGCAGGAGATCTATCGATTTATATTTGTCAATGATGGTTTTATTTGGATCAACACTTTTTAAAAGGGTTATGGCTCTGGTGGATGCGATTGAGAAACGTGATAATGTACACACTTCCTTGTGGCTTTAGGATCTGTACAGCAGTTTGAAATTCAGGTTGCTGGATGATTCTAATGTTTGCAGGTTTGGGGTTTGATCGTCCAGTAAATATCCTGAATTATAATCTGCATTTAATACAAGTTTAGGCAATACAGTTTTTGTACCTCTAAAAGGTCTTTCTCTAGACGTTCTTTCAGTTGTTGCATTGACGCTGTACCTCCAGCAAGCTGCAAAGAAAAGGAAATCAATATTTAGAGTACAACATACACATGCTGATTCACATTAACAAGTGTCATGGATGTTATGTGACAATCGTGATGAAATTTCGCAGAAACCAAGGAAAATAATCTACTGTATAAAAAACCCAGTGCACCATGTGACTTAATGCAAAGAAATGATAACGATTGGCAGCCCAATTCCGGTCTAGGTTCAGTAGAAGGTCCAGATTTAATGCATGACCCACCCTGACACTTCAGGCCAGTAATTGAGGCAGGAACATATTTATAGTATGTCAGAATCTTTAGTGTTGGGCCTGGCAGACAAGTCCAGCTCAGAAGGTCAGGATACATTATGAGATAGCAGGACTGGCAGCCCAGCAAAGGGTCTATTACTTAGTGTGGAGCAGTCCCAACCAGTGTCTCAACAAATCAACCCTGCCTGCTGTCCTTAAAGTTTTTGAAAATATTTTGTAAATTTCAAATTGTCTCTTCTGCTCATACACTAATAAAATTGAAGACACATTAGAATGATTAGAGTAACAGAAACAAAGTCGAGCTTATGTAGTGTGATGTATTCTCACGTTATGGCAGACAAATTTGACTGAACACATCCTGCTAATTGAAAGTAGACAGGTTTCAGATAATCACAGGAGATGAAGAAAGGGGAAAATTAGGCCAACTACACAGCAGGATAAGAGAATGCTCACATAACACATCATATTTAACAATAGCAATGATATTAGAACATAATAACAGCTCCTAATTTATTATTATTATTAAAAAAATAATAATTAAAAAAAAAAAAAAAAAAAAAAAGGATAACTCAGGTACTTAAGATAACAAGTTTGTGTCTTTATGTGACTTGAGCAGATAAGGGATGTGATGAGGAAGTGTTTCAAACAGGTGCAAAATTAGAGAGTCAGTAACTTTTCTGTGAGAAAGATAAACTACTTTTTAAAAAGTCTATTAAAGTGTGCAAGGCCAGCCACATACATAATAAAAACACAAAAGGAAGTGTATAGCATTCGAAAATTACCAATATACTACTGAAAAGTTCTCTTCGGATGTCAACGTCACACTTATTTATGCTTTCAATAACCTGCATTGAATATCAAAGCCATGAATATTTACTAAGTATGAAAAATCTTAAGTAACACTAAATTTCTCAGGTATTTGAAGATATTTCCATCGGAGTCCTACCAAAAAGTAGAAATGGAATACATTAAAAAAAATTAGTACAAGGATCTCAGTCCCATTCAATAATAAAGTGTAACAATGCTTGACCACTCTTCTAAGTTTAAAATCTACAACTATTACTTTAACTACTCATAAATTTTAAGGCCACTCTTCTAAGTTTAAAATCTACAACTATTACTTTAACTACTCATAAATTTTAAGGCCACCATTTTCCCACAAAATGATTTCATGTGCTGAAATGTGCAATTTTTCTCCAATTTTATATTCTGATATTCAAATAACCCAAGCAAATTTTAAATGTACAACACTGTTTCATTTCATCCTTCAGCCTAACCTATAGGGCAAGAAGCATCAAGTTTTTGAAGAATACATCTACTTGTGTAGTAACTTTCAAAGAATTGGAACAGAAATTTGAAATTTGTGTCTGATGCAAGCTATTAATTAAGAGGACGAATATTATAGTTTTCCACAGATAGAGTATTTATTTTCTTTTAATAGTAAGAGGAGTAACAAGAAAATCAGAGGAATTTGATGCCTGATTACCGATTGAAAAACAAAATTACAGAAATTACCATCTGAGGCAAACCACGGGCTGAAGCAGCAGTCTCTACATAACTCTCCATGCCAGGAATAGTCTGCAGACAAATAGGCAGACATTATATTAAATGAAAATTGTCACTAAGTTATTAACACAAGTTGAATACAAATAATATGGGGAATTAAAATAGACTACAGGAAGCAGAGTATGCAACACTTAGACATCATTAATCATAACCAGTAAAGAGAGAACTTGTAGAGGAAAAGTCACAAACAACAAGCAGAGACCATACAAAAGCATCAGGCTAGTTAAAGAAAATTTTCAATGAAAATTGAGTCAAAGATTGCCTAACTGCAGGATTAAGGGGCTATATTATTAAGATAATCTCACGACAATTTCTAAGACAGGACATGGATAGCTGTCGGTACAGGTGGAGAGTCTCTATGCTCTATTGGCAAAAACATTCTACGGCTTCTTTGGTTTTCTTTTTGTGAGTGCAGATAGTAACTAACTAATAAAAGAAGGTTTTGCAGTCAAAAACCACTTCAGTTAACTTATTTATTTGCGTTCATAACTCTACTTTGTAAGGCAACATTATGTTAAAAGTTAGTATAAAATAAGTTTTGCATTTTCTTCAATCAATCTTTCTTTTTGTGCGATTGTGCCCAGTGGTGGTTGGGCATCGTCAAAGTGGTAATCAAATTAGAATTATATCTCTCTCAATGTCCAGTATTGCTAATCTGATATTTTGCCCTGCTCAGAAGGGGTAAATCTGGCTTCTAAGTGTTGGGAATAATAATGGGGATGACTTTACCTATATCTCTCCATTTCTCTTCTTTAATAGGTTGAATCCTGATGTTCATTGTGTGTGTTGTGATTTGCTAATAGTTGGGGAACACGAGTACACGATGATGATGACAGTGTTGGGCAATAAAAGAATTCGATGGTGGGGTTTACGATGGTGTGGCTGGGTGGAGGGGGGGTAACACAGTAAGAGTGGTATGATTGGGAGGAAAGTATGATAATTGTGGGGGTGTAGCGGAAATTGGGGAATTGAAATCCCAGGGGATGGAAGGAGAGTGGAGTCTGTGTAGAGGTCTTTGTGGTAATTCTATTCTACAAATTCAAGAAAGGGTATTTGTGAGCCAAACATACACAGAATTAAGCCACTCCGCACCTTCGTTCTCATAGCCACCTAACAAACAGCCCCTAAGATAGCTAATGAACATAATTATGTCCTGAAATGATAATAAATGAACACTTGACAAAGAGAACCATACATATGATAGGAGCTTAAGGTCCACGAAAGCATCAAATCCAATAAACATTACCTGAACCAATGATGGGTTGAATAAAACATCAGGAGTCTTGAACCTATCTGATCCAATTTCAATTGTCCTGCGATGTTTACACAGTTAATAAGCATGCATGACCATCATTGATATAATTTACTGTACAGAGTCTATGAGTATACTGGTTCAAATGAATAATATACAGCCAGACTAACACTGTTTCCATCTAAAAAAATGTCACATGGTTTCATCCCCTCAAAATAAAAGAATCAGCATGATTTTTTTTTTTTTATAGGAATTTTGTATCGAAAAAAAAAATATATATATATATACTTCAAAATTCCAGGTGAAAGAGAAGGGGGGGAAGAGCTCTAATTTCCCAATACATCAGTGAGGGGCATGCTGGGGAATGCCAAATGAGTGAGAGATCAAAGATACCCTAAATACACCACTCTCCCATAGAGTACTTAAACAAAACTTCCAGCCACGGACAATCCAATCATTCCACTCCAGCCAAATCACCTAAATAAGGGCCAAATCTGCAGCCTTCCACATTATCTTATGCCTCTTTGCCTTCCAAACAGCATATGATTTCATTAATGTATCTGATTACAATCCAAAGGACCAATCCAATGAGTCCAAACAATTCCAAATAACCTCTAAAAACATAGTACGATAATGCAAAAAAAAATGCGTCTTCACTAGCAAGATGCCAAGAAATAGCAAATAAGAGAAAGGTGTTGTGTAGTCTCCAAGTATGGAGCTTTTCCATACTCACCACCCAGGCTAAAACTTTCACTCACTTAAGAACTTTGGCCCTCAGTATGTATGTAGGAAGAGGGAAGGAATATTTTGGTGAATTATAAAGGTGATAGTATTAGAGCAACAGATAAAGAGTCAGCCAACCCTACCTTCCAACTCCAATCCATTTGGAATAACCCATTTATGTTCTGAGTCACATCATGCCACAGTGACTCATGTTCAAGACGAAAATACCACAACCACTTACCAAACAGAGCAAATAATTTAGAATCTAAAGCCCCAGTCCTTTTTCCAACTATACAATTTTCTTGAAATTCTCAGGACAACAGAAGGTATCTGACGCAAACCCAAATAGCTAAATGGTTAACTCTGGATCTCACACCCCACTATAGCAGCAAACTCCCCAATTACACTTCAGTTCCTCCATCTTGAGAAGAATTTCTACGTGGGCTATATTAATTTATACATATTAAGATGAAAAGCTCTCATCAGTATATTTTTGTAAATTATACAAATACATAATGAAGAATAATAATCACAGAGAAAACAACTATGCTTATGCAAAAGGTAATCTCCAACTATAAGCATATGATGAATGAGTTAATTCTTAACAGCTTGCTAACAACTTACTGTCCATCAGGAAGCTCATATGGCGTCATAGGAATATTTGAGTATGAAGTTTCTGTAACAACATCAGCAAAATCAGATAATTTTAAAAGACAGTAAAAGAGGGGGGAAAGCTTAATTGTTTCTGGGATCATTATAATTCAAAGATGATACCCAAAACTATGCAATAAAAGCAGAATGAACTATGTAAAAAAACTATTTAAATCTTAAACCAGTCAAAAGAAGCAGAATGAATACACTATATAAACAATAATAACCAATCCCTATTCCTTAATAAATTCTTTAAATGCACAAATATTTCATTGCATTGGTATTTCAAATTAATGGATTACATGGGATTTTGAAAGTTGGTTCAAGTAGAAATAATTGAATGGAAGGGGTAACACAGTAAAAGCAAATATTTGTAAAGAACGCGATAAAAGAGAATTAATATGTATTTGTCACTTGTACAAGAATAACCATTTGCAGGTACTAATGAGAATCTAATCACAGATACTTCAAATGATCTTCATTACACCAACAGTATATTTCAAACCACACAAAAAATGGGTGAAAAAATTATGATATACCTCCAAAGTAAGAGACAGAATATGTAATTATCTTTGAAATAAACATTCTGTACTCTGTGTTAATCAGACATGGAGAGATTAACTCAAATGACTCGTGCAAAATTTCATGTTTTTGGCTGGTGTATCAAGTGTCTATACTCTATACCCATCACCCATATTAAACTATTGATGATAGGACACCTTAAAACCAAACACATGATCAACATGGCCATCAATCTTACAGTTTTATACCTCTTGTATAGCAAAAAACATAAAAGAAAGCCTGATGGAACTAATAAAAACAGTCAAGAAATCATCCTTTGAAACTAAAAAGAATAAAAGGATCATATGCAGCATTAATCTAGAAGAGCATAGTAGATTATTCAACCACAGATATCAACCAGCTATTGAGTGCTCGGGTTCCAAAAAAAATAGCAGACACCAGTGAACAAAAATTAGTCAATATACTAAAAGAGATTGACACATGGAAAAAAAGTATCAGTTCATTCCTATATTCCAAGAAAGCTCATATATCTATTTGCAAAACATGATCCAAAAAAATGCTTAACGAGGACAAAGAATTAGAGCTTAGTAAAGAAAGTTGGACATAAACAAAACCAAATCTGTACAATAGTCTACATTTTCCAAACAAAAAACAGCAAATAATAAAGAAATGAGAGAAAGAATGGGAAAGAAACACAAACCATCATAAGGTGTATCAGGTGCACGACACACACACTCTTTAATGTCACTGGCGATAACCCTCTGTAAAACAAAAGATTCTTAAAGCATTCAATGATACAAAATCAAGAAGAGAAAAAAAAAAAAAAAAAAAAAAAAAAAAAAAAAAAAAAGTGCAACTTTATCATACCTGACAGTAGAGCCTGTAACTTTCTGTCGTATTTGGAAAATCAAGATCAACAGTCTGTATGGTTCCAACATGAAGAGAAAGTAGTAAATAAAACTTTTTTTTTTTTAAATATTTAAATTAATGCCTAATTGAAGTCAAGTTCAAATAACTCAGTTGTCATGCAATAATACGGATGACACATAGTGAAAGTGTACATCCAAGTAAAATCATAGGCTGGGCAGGGAAGGTCAAGCAGTGACAAATACCTGAAATTCCCCAGGACGTATCTCCTTTCTTTTAAAAGAATACCTAGGCTTGATCTGTCAAATTGGATACAAATAAAATGAGACATGCTCAAATCATGAAAAAAGACACAAAAGTCATTCCTTGAATCTTACAATGATGCCTTTGCTCTCCAAGCTTTTTGTCAAGCAGTCAGTGAGAAATTCTCCTCCGATTGGTGAAGTCAATACAGCCTAAATGAGATTACAGATAGGATATAATGGCAAAAAAGAACCAAAGGGAAAGTTTAATACTCAGTACACAAACTAAAATATAATATTTCAATTAGTGTCGGTTATATATTATTCAGAACACCTGGCTGGACACAGAAAATTAAACACATATATAGCTTTCCACGCCATTGATGTACACAAACTCCTATAGAGGCTAAGTTTTCCATTTTGAAAGAGAGGAAACTTGGGCCAACCCGCTTCATTAGATGACCAGAAATTTCTTTCCCTTTATAATTTATTTTGAGTCTTAAATCAAACCTTTTGTCTAACAATGTATTTATATCAACTAAACAACTCTTATACCTTCATCCAAAAATTTTTGATAATAGCATACCAAAGTACTTAAGATTCTTAGTCAAATAGCAGTTTAATTCAGTTTTTGAATTTCTAACTTTCCATATAGGCCCCGTTTGGTTTGATGCAAAATGTTTTCATGGAAAATGATTTTCCCAATTTTTCTCATTTTCCTTTGTTTGATTTGTGAAGGTGTGGAAAACAATGTTACCAATAGTGGGAAATTGCATCCTTAATGGTGGAAAACAATTTCTTTTATAAAACAAGGAAAGCTACATTTTCCATCCCTCCTTCTTACCTCCTTTTTTACTTTCCTCTACTCCATCATCACATTTCCACCCCTATCTTTAATTTCTCTATAACTTTTCTTGATGGAACCAAACAAAGGAAAACTAATTTGCAACTGTGATTTTCCTTGAAAATGTGTTTTCTATGAAAACTAATTTTTCATTGAAAGTGTTTTACACCAAACCAAACTGGGCCATAGTGTTTCTTCGATTTCCATTTCTAATTAGATCCAAGCAACAAGCACAAACAATTAAAGATATAGTCTTCACCATATACCCATACTTGAAATCATGCTAAAAGTTCTTAGTACCTTAATCAACAGCCAAGGAAATCAACTATGCTCAAACTGACAAGGTTTACCTTTTGAAGAACATAACCATCATGCACTGGGGCAACAGTGGTTGAACCTCCTCCACTGTAAAGGTCAACAGTTAGCAGTTATAAGCTGAACTACAGTACGAACAAAAGTCTTATAACAAAAAATCATCTTTACAAAATCAGAGAAGCTACAATAATAATACTTTAAATGTAGCTACTTCCAAACTTCTACCTGTCAACTACTAGAGAGGTTGCTCGTCCTGATGCAAATGAGGTAAGAACCTAGCAATGAAGATAAATCAATACATCAAAGAACCCAAAAAAAACATGGCAGATTTTAAATGATACAATACCATCAATATTCAGGTGTACTAAGAAAAAATAAAAATAAAAAGGCATACTGCATTCTTGGCCAAAAATAAAGCTGGAACTTTGTATTTTTCAAACATCAGCTCTGCCGCCCTGTTAAATGCACAACTTGTTAGAATTTGACACAACCACATAAAACATAACTCATACAATACTTGTGCCATGTTGTATATCAGAAAATGAGTTAGTCCCAATAAAGTAGAAGCAGATAACATCATGCTTGTCACAAGCATTCTAAACCTTTCACTAAATCTTACAAATGCAAAGTGAAGCTCTATCGCACTCAAAGAGATCAAAGACAAGAATCAAACATGGATCCTGTGAATCTGTGATACTGCCAATGGTAATGTCTTGGGAGGTCAAAATATACACAACTTTACCACTAACAAAAAGAGAAGCCAGGGAGACTCTTTTCTGAAAACCCACTCAATTACATTTTGAAAGAGATATCATGACTTTAAAACCAGTGAAAACTGACTGAAAAGGGTGAAATCAAGCAGGAAATATATCATGCCATAATAATAGTAACACTACTTATATACAAAGTATAATTATGAGATTAATGACACACAGGAGTGGTTATAGTGAAAGTTTTTTTGGTAGTAGTTACAGCACAACAATGACAATAATGAGTAATGACAGTATTAGTGATGGTAACAGCAATTGATCCACTGTAAACTAAAAAGTATAATCTTCCACAATATATAGCTTCAAAAATAAAACCCTTATAAGCTAAATGGTCCTCCAATAGTAAAAAGAAAACAACCTAATTTGTTTTTCACAACCTAAGAATGACAACCATGAAATTAAAACAAGGTTGCTGCATAATTGGAAGATGGGCTCAACTTCCCAACCACAAAAGCCATTCACTGCAGAGAGAACTGACATTGATGAATTTACAATCCTTTTACAATATATATGATGCAGCTACTAGAGCCTGTACTAAAGGTCTTTGAAAGTGGAAGGTAATTTGGGCACTCAAGGGGCAAAGGCCCAAAGGTAAATTTCTTTGTCCTTGCTACAGGAAGAACAATCTTGCTTGGAATAATAAAAAAACCTTTTAAATTAATTTTTTTTGTTATTGTGGGGAAGCACCCTTTAAAGTTTATTCATCTTCTTTTTTTTTTTTTTTTTTTTTTTTTTTGCCTAAAACCACGTATTATGTCACTTTTTTTTTTGTTTTACCTCCAAAATCTCTTTACTTTGTTTTTCCTTCCCATGTTTCTATTAATTTTCTTTCTTTACTTTGTCATATACTTCTGATGAACCTCATTCAGTTCACAGCATGAAAAAAAAAAAAAAAAAAGAAGGAACCAAGGTCATGGCCTTTAGTACAGAATAATAAAGTTAAAGAACAAGATAAACTATTGTGATAAACCACAAATGTGCGGTGTCATAAACTAGGCTCACTGGGAGGTGCCCTGTGAAGGAGGCTCAGAAGCATAGATAGAATTAACAAGTGGAGAGATAATTTTATGAACAAGTACATGAAGACACAAACCTTTTCTTTTTAGTACGACCTTATTTCCTGCTGTTAAGCAATATGCTGTTAAACTGGCTAGGGTATAACAAAAGAGCTGCACTCTAAGGTGAGAAATTTGCATGGTTTAATTGACAAAGGAAATGGAAGGACTTAGGTGACTGTTCATACTGTTTATGACAATAGGTCAAACAGAATTGGAAGTTTTCGAAGATGGGAGCCGAAACTGATGTCCTTTGAGGAAAAGTATCTTCGCTCTCTAGGTTTCCAGCTTCACTAAAACTTTATAGGTGGCCTTGACCATATAATATACCCTTCTTGATTTACGCCAAGCATATTTGTAAACGAACTTCCTAGACTCAGTGAAGCCATAAAATCCTGACTAAAAATGTGCCTTAAAAGCATGAAGCATATTGGCAGCCTGACTGGTTGCATCAGACTTCTTTATGGCTGTTTACATAATTGCTACTCCAGCATCAAAGCATCAGTTTATACGTTTTCCTTTTCTGTCTGTCCCAGATTAGTTTACACACTTTCATAGCACTTAGAGCCCCCTTAAAAATAAAATAAAAGAAAGTAAAGGGCCACATTCTCCCTCCAATCTAAAATTTGCCCAACACCTATTTTCATCTACTCTATATTAAAAATACAAAGTAGATGGACATTGATTAAGATGTGTTTAAGTCGGGGTGGCTTAAATGGAGAGTGGCCATGGGAGTATTATGTGACCGGAGCATTCCCTTAAAGTTCAAGGGAAAATTCTACGGGACTACCATGACCAGACTAGTGTTGCTCTATGGTACAGAATGTTGGGTTCTAAGAAGAAGTACATCAAAAAGATGGAGATTACGGCAGTGCGCATGTTAAGGTGGATGTGCGGGAACGCTCTAAGAGATAGAATCAGAAATGAGGTTATTCGCAAGAAAGTGGGTGTGTCAGGCATTGTAGACAAAGTAAGGGAAAATCGCCTGCGTTGGTTTGGGCAGGTAAGACGGAGACCCGAGGGTGCACCGGTACGAAGAGTGGAAGAGTGGAACCACGGAGGGATTAAACAAGGGAGAGGGAGACCAAAAATGACTTGGTTGGAAAGAGTTAGAAAAGATATTAAATATATGGATTTGCATGAGGATGAGGCATTAGGTCGTAAGGAATTTTGTCGATGACTACACGGAATAATCACTTTTGGTTCATGTAGCCGACCTCACTTATGGGATTAAGGCTTTGATTGATTGATTTATATAAAAAAAAAAAATACCCCATATATGGCCCACAACAAAATCCTCTCATAACTTTTTTCCCAAAAAAGTGTGTAAACTTATCTGGAAGAGGGAGTAATATTTACCAAAAAAAAAAGAAAGATAAAAGAAAGCATAATCTTACTTAAATTGGAAAGGATTTGAACAGTGTTATGCATTTCTACTCTCATCCTCTCAAATTATAATAATAATAATAAACCCTTCTCTCTCTCTCTCTCTCTCTCTCTCTCTCTCTCTCTCTCTCTTCTCTCTCTCTCTCTCTCTTCTCTCTCCACCCCCTACCCCCCCCCCCCAACCCCCCCAAAAAAAATCCATCAAATAAATTAAAATATCCACTTTAGAATTTAAAAGCAAACAACATTCTTCCAATCACAAATAAGTTTACAGGATATCTAGATGAATTTTAAAACAAAAGACCATACTACTAGCGGTGAATTGGAGCTAAGGACCAGAAGTTATGCACATTGACCAACATAAAAGACAAAAAGAGCAACACTTAACCTATAAAGCAAACATACAATTCTTGACATGGAGGGAAGGGGGAATATTGTCACTCATCAGACACACCGTTTGCATTCAGCAGGATCTCTACATAAGATGTCCATGCAACCATATCACTATTATTACGATCTCTAAACACTAAGTCCATACATAGCTCAAGCTCACCTTTCTCTTTGCTGTTGATTATTTGCAGATGGCTCTGCAAGTAACATCGGGTGCTCTTTTGGATCAATCAGTAGACATTCCCTACAAGTGATATCAAATAGATCACAATGTGCCTTGTATAAATACATAGCTTAACTAGGAAATAAATCAGGCAAGGATCATACCATTGAAGAGGCTTATAAAGAGGATAAAGATCAAGATTATAAGCTATATATAGCTTTTTTTTTTTTCCAAAAACAATAGTTACATGGGTTAAAACAATAAAACTGAATAAATTTACATTAATATTTCTGAAACTCAAGCATATAAGCATAGGAAGTAAATCACTAAAGCACTGAATTTACAGATACAGAGAAATATAAGGATCGCAATATATATACAACCTTAATTGAATTTGTTCCTTACAAAATTTCTGTTAAAAATAAATAAATAACAAGACTTTTAGTAGAATTATTTATTGAATATAATTGGCCAAGTGAAGTGATTGCACGGAATAATCAAATTTGGTTCATGTAGCCGACCCCTCTTATGGGATTAAGGCTTTGTTTGATTGATTGATTGAATAGGCCAAGTGAAGTGATGAATTTTGTTTACATACATGCTCTAAGACATCCGAAGGTTTACCGAGTTTCCTCTAATCAATGGCAAAAAATTTATTGCCAAGGGATATTAGGGACTTCCCAATCACCTAAAAAAAAAAGATCAATCACTAGTACCTTAAGTAAGGTTCTCGGCATCGCAAAGATCCACTGTAATTCTAGAATGATCAAGTAACTTGCAAGATATTGCATCATGACACTATCAAATAGTGCAATTAACCTAGACTTTAAGCCTTTGGAATCAAGGCCTAATTTGCTTCAAGCAAGATGAGAAAAGTCTTTATATATGAAATGTGTACTGCGTTATATCATGACCTTGGTGATCATCTACACAAAACTAACAAAGAAAGTGACCGGCTACTCTCCTACAACCTCAATCAATAGTCGATATTCACATACAGCTCATTCAATAGAAACTAAGCCAGAAAATACAATAGTGAACATTTTTGAAGGCACAAAACTACATTCCCAGAGCATTATTACTATCATCACTTTCAACATTAGTATAATGTCCACTCCTTTCACATTAGAAACCAAGAAATTAAAACATTCCAATCACCTGAAACCGTGGTCCAATATGCTGTCAACGATATCCCAGTCTGCAATCACTCCGTCTTTAAAGGGAGATAAGACCTGATGCAGTAGAATACAAGATACCATAAGATTTTAAAAAAATCAAGAAATATATGGTTCATTTTTTAATATGCTAAATTAACCACAATGTTCCTTCTGCTACATTAGAATTTATTTTATAACAAGCAAGAAAGCAGGAAAGTGTTATCTTTCAATAATAATCCCTGTTCAGGTAATCTTACAGCCAGCATTCAATTATATCCTCCACAATCACAAAATAATGAGTAAGAAACCAGAAAGAGGACCTATAAGGGAAGAATTACATCAGTCACTTGCCTCCATATTATCACGACGAAATCCCAGGGATTGCGATCCGACATAAAATTTGCGTTTACTCTTTTCTTTCTCAGATTCAAAGGTTTTCACAGTACTGTTTGAATCAGGAGCTGAACCCAGGTTCTTTTCAGGGTTATCAGGAACATCAACCTCCATTTGATCAACTGCTCCAACCACCTTGATACATTAATGAAAAGAAAGAGGAGAAATTTAGATAAGTGAACCACTACACTTAACAACAAAGAGACAACTAAGATGCACAATCATGAACGTCACTGTTATTGTTACTTCGTCACCAAAACAATAATACTCTAATTCCTTAATGCATAAGTAAGGACTTGTAGAAGAAAAGCATCCATTATAAGACATAACCATAACTCATGAGAAGAATAAACCAATGACCAAGTTTTTTCATGCACTGGAGGAGAGAACATAAAATCTGTACAGTAATTACAAAGAGCCCAATATCAACTAAAGATAACAAGACGCCAGATTCTTTTTGTATAATGGAAATACCTGAGGTGGTGACACCTCTCATACAATTTACAGTTTTACACAGACTATTTGGGGAAATGATAACTGAACAAATCCATGCAGATGTGCATGAGGAATCCCATTTTGAGATCTTCACAAGGCATAAGCAACTGATAAACAAAATATTCTAGCCTATAACACTATGTTAATTACAAATAGGGGTCTTGAGGATATGCATGTTGGAGTGAGGTTTAATAAAAGCTGAAAATGAGCTTTGCCACACTCCAAGGGAAAAGCTGACCGTTAGGGCACACTTTGACGTTGACAAAACGGCAAAGGAAAGATGTTAATTAAAAGTTCGCCAGACTTGAACAAAACTGCCTAATAGGGTGCGAATTTAAGCAGAAAAAGTCCAGGAAAAAAACAAGTTTTCTTCTCTTTGATTCCTTTTGTAACAGCTTCCTTGATAATCTAAAATAAGGTTGACCTTTTGGCTTTTATAAGTAAATTCAAGAACAAATTCCTATTAATATGGGGATTTCAAACTCTATTTTCTCAAATTGATTTCTCTTAATGGCACTGACATCTCATGAATTTTGGTATCTCCTTGCTGCTACATAAACCATCTTCTTCAATATGTACTCAATGGCTCTCCATGAGAAATACACACAACATTGTTTATTCATCTTCTTCCTTTCTTCTTCTTTATTTCTTCCTTTGTGGGAATAAGATCATGTAACTCTAACCTCTCACCCAAAAAGTGTCTATGTGAGATCAGTGTGTAAACCTAAGGTAATGAATTGGCAAATACAATTGACTAATTGAGTACCCTAGTTGCGCTGAAATCTCATGTTCATAGTCCCTACTTGATGCGACATACCAATTTCAGTTCACCATTGTTTTGTTTAATTTTTTTCCTAGTATTAGCCTTGGAAAATCCTTCAATTCCAACAATGCTAGCATCCTATATGATAGGACTAAAGAGAGTAAATTAAAACCTAGTTTACCATCGTAGAGCTCCTATGTCCTATAGCTGTTGTAGCCCTGTAGGAGTAGATGAACGAGTGACAAGGAAAAGTTCTGCCAGTTCCTAAAGAAGGACTGTGAATGTTGTCCAATAGCCTAAAATCAGGCTCTAAAGATTCATGATGGAAAGGTAAAGAAGTTCCAAAAGTAATGCTCTGATTTGAAGAAGCCATCAACATTATACAACTTTTTAGTTAAACCCCTCTCACCATTTCCTAACTATATTTCTTTTGGAACAACATCCTAAACCAAAAACTTATCGATTTATATTAATTAGAATTGAAGGATAAAGTATCAAGTAGCATTCCTTAATTCAAGAAAAGCTACCAAAGCAGTACAAAAAACCTTAACATTTACTGGAATAATGACAAACAAGGGAACAAGAAGCACTCGAATTGGAACGAAGAATATGACGAAGCACTTACAGAAGGAAAGACAGCCTTGGGAGCATCTTCACCGGCATAGCCTGCCTTGCAGGTGTGAGAGCCCATGTCAATCACAATTGCTGATACTTCATCTATTTTGCAGATATAAACAAAAAAGGATTAGAAACTACACATCATTGGAAAAAATAAAATTTAATCTGCAATAAAGTTTTTGGAAAACCACCTCCACCCCAAAAAAAAGAAGAACATTTCAATCATCAACAAAATTCCTTTTTGATAAACAACTACAAAAATACAACTCTATTATAAAAGAATAAATGGGGGAACATAGACGAAGAAGTTCATGGAAAGTTCAAAATTTTATGATAAATAAAATGGTTTCATTCAGATTAGACGGATGTTCTTGAGTCCTGTACAGCTTCAGCTAATTTGCAGTTGAATTTTAACAAGAACAAAAAAAATGTAATTCATATTTATTAATAGACATATACACCAATCATCGACGAAATTCTTCTTGTGACTAACCGATAAAAGCATACAACTTTATCATAAAAAACTTAAAATAATAAAAAAGAAAAAATAAAAAGAAGTGAAACCGGGAAGTTCAGGGCAAGTTTGAATTTCAACAAAGATGGGTTCATTCAATTTACAGGGAACGTTCTTATACAACTATAATACAATTGTATTTCTAAAATCAAAGTTTCATTAAATAATAGCAAAATACCACCAGCTAATACATAAAATTCAACAATGTGACAAGAAATTTGAATTTTACTAAAAAATTGATCTGCAACCAATTGAAAAGAACAACATAGAACTAGAACATAAGTTAACTATCCCAACAATTTGTCCCTAAAATGTAGAAACAATGTACAATTGCAGTTATCAACTTCCAATTCAGCCGTAAACATAAAATCATAAACCCTAAAACCCTAGCAAAAAATAAAAACTTGAAAAAATCCATGAAAATTAACGATTCCAAAGAAGTGCATAAATGATGGAGAATTGAAGTAAATTTAGGGCGGAATACAAAGGAAAGAGAGGGAAAAAGTGAACTTACCGCCACCATACATGGTTGCGCCTTCTGTCTACGAATTGCGTAAATGGTGGTCTGGTAAGTTGGGGTTTTGGGAGGGAAGAGTTGATTTTTTTATTTTATTTTTTTTTATTTTATTTTTTTTAAACAAGGGAAGAGTTGATATGTGAAGTGAAAAGTGTTTTGTTTGAGTTTTTCGAATTTTGATGTAAATCCAAAAGTATTTGTTCTAAAAACTTACGAGTAGTGGTCTTAATAATGGAGCTCCTACATTGGATTTTTCCCCAATGTGAATCTAATTTTAAAAGAATTTTGTAAATTGGTTGCGTGACAAAACTATTTACCAAATTAAGTTTTTAGGGTAAAATGCTGTCTCGGGCAGCGTTTTATGCCCTGGTTTTCTAAAAAAAATTCAATTTGTAAGACACTGCCCCATACAGTGTTTTACCTATTGACATTTTTTTAAAAAAAAAATTGTAACCTGTTAAGCTGAAAATATGAAGAAAAAAAATTAAAATAAGGTAAAACGCTGTCTGAGGCAGCATTTTACCTGTTTAATGAAACGCTGCCTCATTCAGCGTTTTTGCAGCGTCTTCTTCCTCTCATTCCCTGTTCTTCCTCACATTCCCTCATTTCAATCCCCTAACCCAATCTCTCTCTCACTCAAGCTCTGTCAAGCAACCCAAATCCCCCCAACCACCGCCGCCACCCTCCGACCACCGCCTGCCAACCACCGCCCGCCGACAGCCCTGAGTAGCCTCACATCACCCCGATTTTGGTACTTACCCTGTCTTTCTTTGGTTTTTAAAATCTAGGGTTTTTTTAATGGTTTATTTGTGTTTTGGATTTGTGGTTAAAATCTTAATAATGTTGAATTGTTAGTGTTGATAATGTTGAATTGTTAGTGTTGATAAGTGTTGGTACTGTTGAATTGTTAGTGTAGAAAATTGTTGGAAATGTTGAATTGTTAGTGTCGATAATTGTTGATAATGGTTGATAATTGTTGGTTTTTGAGTGATTATGATAACCTACATTGTTGTTTATTAATGTTGATTTAGGGCTTCTAAGCTGTGTTAATTTGAAAAGTATGTATATTGTTGTTTAATTATGGCAATTAGTGCCTTTAAGTGTAATGTGTTTTGGTTGTTATGTAGAATATGGCTGCACAAAATGTAGTTTTGTTATGCCGGTGGGGAGGTGAAATTTTGTTCGATGGACCCCGTGTCGAGTATAGTGGAGGAAATATGGAACCACTAACACTTGAACCGAACATGACTTTCAATGATTCGATGAATGAGGTTTATAGTAGTATTAGTTCAAACCTAAGGAACGTTGAACTAAACATTAAAATGAGGTTTGAGACCGGCAATGGGTTCAAGTGTTACTTATTTCTACGAATAAACATTTGAAATCTTTGAGGAGCGTTGTTGCAATGAAGGGTGTTCCCACTGAGATATATGTAGAAATGGTGCCTATATGTACCCAACAAAGTACTCGGCCAGATCAACAATCTACATATATTTCCGGTTACAACGCAGAGCCCTTCCAAGTGCCCTCACACGACATTCCATCAACTGAATATGGGATGGGATGTTTCTGTCGAATGCTCCACGACGATCAATTTCACATACCGTTTAGTTCTCATATAGCGTCACCTGTACATGGGGGGGCATATGTGGCAATGACCGACCAAGCTGGGCCTTCGACATCAAACACCGTCACACCTTCACCGGTGTAATTGCATAGTTATTCGCCTATGCAAGATGATGTTCAAGCATCGCCATCTCAAGTTGTGCCAAATCATCTTGAAACTATTGTGAATAACGAATTGTCTGTGTATGATGTGTATACAAATGATGAGGCGGAGAGCGGAGAGGAGGAAGATGGACTTCAGAATATGGATGTTGGACCTGCACACATGGAAGTTGGCGAGCCCCTGGGTAGAACTCCCGTACCTTGGTTCAGTCAGGTAAACAAGAACTATGAAGTTGATCAATATTGGGCCGAATCGGGTAGCCATACATCGTTTGTTCCCGGGGGAGAATTTGAGAAGGGGATGTATTTTGGAAATAAGAAAATGCTTCAAGAGATGGTGAAGATGTATTCCATACAGAGGAATCAATTCTACACCACAGTGACATCGAATGAGAGTGTCCTTCATTTGCGGTGCAAGAAGAAATGTGGTTGGATGCTACGGGGTACCAAATCAAGTGAGCACTCACGTGGCTTTACCCTAGTCACGTACAAAGGCCCGCACCAGGAGAATTGTGTCACTGAAGTACTTATACTGATCATACGCACTTGGATTCGTTAATAATATCAGAGTATGTGAAGTCCTTTGTGCGAAAAGATCCGTCCTTGAAAGTTGAATTCATACAGGAACTCATCTCCAAGCAATTTCATTTCGATGTTCTGTATTGAAGAGCATGGTATGCCAAGGAGAAAGCAATAGCTGAAATATTTGGGGATTGGGAGAGTTCTTACGGCAGACTTCCGCACTTCATGCAAGCACTCCAACAGTCAAACCCGAGAACGTGTGTCGTATGGAAACACAAAGCTCTGGTGGACGGTGTATACTACAGCAACATGGAAGTATTTGAACGAGTGTTTTGGGCCTTTGGTCCTTGTATCGACGGTTTTAAACATTGTATGCCTGGTATCTGTATCGATGGGACGAACTTGTACGGGAAGTACAAAGGAACACTGTTGGTTGCTACAAGTGTGGATGCAAGCTTCCAAGTATTTCCGCTAGCATTTGCTGTGGTTAAAGGGGAAAATACTTCCAGCTGGTCTTGGTTCATGGGCTGCATTCGGGTTCATGTCACGCAACGAGATGGCCTTTGTGTTATATCTGATCGACATCTTGGATTCACCGAGCCGCGAGCCTATCACAGGTTTTGTGTTCGCCACATAGCTTCTAACTTGAAGACTCACGTACGAAGCAACGAAATGAGAGATATGTTCAAGGCTGCGGCGTACCAAAGGCAAGAAAGAAAACTTCAACCTGATCTGTGTTTCATCGGTGAGGCATGTACCAAGGCCAAGGAGTATATTGTTCAAGTCCCATTCACTATGTGGTCTCTCTTTCACGACGCTGGTCACAGATATGGGATACGTACTACAAAATTCTCTAAAACATTTAACAATGTGTTGAAGGGAGCTCGATTTCTATCAATCATGTCCCTTATCGAGTTAACTTTCCATAGAGTTAACAGGTATTTCACTTTGAGAAGGGAGTCTTCTGAGGCTAGGTCTGAACAGGGACTTGCATACCCTTTCAAGGTCACTGCCATTCTAGAGAAGAACACCGCAAAAGCAAGATATCACAGAGTGGATGCGTATAACCGCCGATTGCATATTTACCAAGTTACAACAGAATGGGGAGAGCGACTTGGTAGTAAAGGAGGCCATAAACATACTGTTAACTTTCAGTTGAGAACGTGTACATGCAAAAAACCAAAGATATTCCACCTCCCATGTTCTCATGTTCTAGCAGTCTGTGCGACGTATTCACTATCAGAGCGGCCGTGGGTGGACCTTGTGCTGTAATCGAAGGCCTACACGAACACCTATGCACCACAATTCTGGCTTATCCCCTACGAGACAACCTGGACGCGGTACGTCGGCCCTAAACTCATTCCGGACGGGAGCATGGTCGTACGTGGAAAAGGGCGGCCAAGGTCAAAGCGCATACGCAATGAAATGGATGAGACTAACCGGCCCCCGAGCAAATGCAGCCGCTATCACCAGCAGGGTTGCAACCGGACAACGTGTCCATCTAGACCAACATAGGACCTAAGTTTGTATTTGTTATTTGTTGTAGTAGTAGAAAGTAGAATTATTTTGTATAAGGTTTTCTAAAGTTTGTAACATTTATAACATTTGGATTATTTCTATTTTCTACTTTGGATGTCGTTTGAAATTTTCTGTCTTTGCCTTTAACTCGTCCAGCTTATGTTTAATTGCTAATCCAGTAATTGTGTTGGTATTTGGTATATAACGTTTTCAATAAACAGATATCATGGACGGAGAAGATAGGATACCCGGACCTGTTGACCCTTCTGTCCTGTCACTACAGGACAAACATCGGTGCGTTGACATATGGGACCAGACGGTAATATTTCATCCGTTATTTCATGTACCTTTTTTTGATACATTGATGTACTATCTAATATTAATTACGGTCGTACAATGATTTTTCAGGTTGATGTAGCGAAGATGCTGGTCTGTAGGCACTACACTACCAGGGTTGTAGGCGACTGGGTTGTCGATCCACGCATTATTGCGTACGTCGAGTACGCTGGATTTGGTGGTATTCATCGAACGTACGTCGAGTACGTAGACACTACACTACCAGAGAGATCGATCGAGCGCTTGTCACTGCCCTAGTGAAGAGATGGAGACAGGAGACGCACTCCTTCCATCTACCTGTTGGGGAGGCGACCGTTACGTTATGGGACGTCGCAATACTCACGCGCCTTCCTATACATGGGACTGCGGTGACAGGACATACGTTAGTTGATCCCGTTGGTTTAGTAGCCCGGGTTCTCAGGGTTCAGCCGGGTCCCGACGAGATTAGGGGCTCCAGGTTGAGGACCGGTTGGATACGCGATACTTTCCGTGCCCTGCCTGCGGACGCTGATGACGCCACGGTTCAGACACTCGCTCGAGCATACTTGTTCCTGCTCATATCGGGCGTGTTGTTCGGCAACAAGAGCGGGAGCCATATCCAACTTATTTACCTACAACTGTTAGACCACGACTGGGATCATATCCATGGATACAGCTGGGGTAGTGCCTGTTTGGCGACATTGTATAGCCACCTGTGTAGAGCCTCCTACGGTGGTTCAGTCGAGGACCTCTGATTGTGCTTCAGGTAACCCACCTAATTATCCACAAGCTAGTTTGGCAATGACTTACGTTATACTCAACATAATTTTGTATTTTGGTATTACAGTTATGGGCTTGGGAGCACATCCATGTAGGCAGACCAGGTAGGCTTGCTGTACATTATCGGGAGCAGCAGGACCGGGACGAGCAATACCAGGCGTACATCGATCCACCGCTCCCTACACCTGATGAGGCGTACGGTTACAGGTTTGTAACATTTGTTATTCTTTTTTGCCCCCATATGGTTTCATTTTGTTGGATGACAAACTAAAAC